CCCCCCCCCCCCCAGTGTCCCAGACAGACAGGAGCATAAATTATCAGAAGAGATGATGCCGCAAAGCGAAAAGAACATGTTGTTTTGGTTTTCCGCTTTTAAGGAATGAAAAAAGTTCAGCCAACTTCTCCTCTGTGGAAAAACACAGAGAGCTACTCCGTCAGCTCCCATCCCTCCCCGAAATACCGGCCAGCCTTCTGGGCCTCTGATACTCTCCGGACACTAACATTCATGAAAAAAGCCTCCTGTCCAGTAGTCCCTCCCTTCCCAGCTCCTGCCCCACGGCGCTGCCCTCCTAGGCCGGGGCTCAGCAAACTTTCCTCCGAAAAGGGCCGGAGAGGAACTATTTTGGGCTCTGCTGGGGTGCGGTCTCCTGTTGCAACCACTAGGCTCTGCTGTGTAGCCTGAAAGCAGCAGGGACAACACGTAAACAAACGGATGTCGCCGTGTCCCCAAAAGACTTGATTTATGGGCGCCACGGAAATCTGAATTAACTTCACTGAATTTCACATGTCACGAAGTAATACTATTTTTTCTTAACGGTTTTCTTTAATTATTGAGAGAGACAGAGAGAGAGTAGGAGGGAGGGGCAGAGACAGAGAGAAGGAGAGAGAATCCCAAGCAGGCACCACACTCAGTTCGGAGCCCGGCTCGGGGCTCGAACTCCCCAACCTTGAGATCATGACCTGACCTGACCTGAAAGCAAGAGTCAGACACTTAACCAACTGAGCCGCCCAGGCGCCCTGAAATAGTGTTTTTTTGATTTTTGTAGCCCCACCACTTAAACCTGTAAAAACCATTCTTGGCTGACTGGCTGTCCACACGTGACCTCTGGCGTGGGGCTGGGGCCTGAGGACCCCTAATTCCCCAGGCACTTAGGACAAACGATCACGTGCCCCTTCCCCCTGCTGCTCTGTTCCGTCCGCCCTTCACATTCTCCTCCTCCGGGAAAAGGGGATCGTGCCGTCTGCTCCTCAGGTCGTGTGAGGATTAACGGACGGCAGGTTTGTCGTGGGTGGCTGTCGCCAGGCCCGCCCGGGTCCCGACCCCGGGGTCCCCCGTGTCCACGCTGCCCTCCCCGGTGGCTGCCAGCATCACTGCTTCAACACACGGCTCTGTCACAGCCCCTTTCCTGCTCAGAAATCCTTGGAGTCCAGCGATGTCACTCGCAGGAATAATTACAGGGGTTTACAAAGATTCAGCTCCGTGACTGTTTCTAACGCAGCAGATTTATAAATATCCTCCGTGCTTAGAAGCAGGAACTAAGATGCGGTGCATTCGTTATCGCGGAATTCTACGGAACCACACTTAAGCCAACGCTGCTGGCCGAGCATCCGGTGACCGGCTGAGAGCAAAGGCTCTCGGACAGCACGGCCCAGAGGAACTTTCTGCGGTGACGGCAGCCGTCTATTTCTGCCCCGCCTCGTACAGTAGCCACGAGCCCCACGTGGCTGTGGGGCACTTGGAAAGTGGCTGGTAGGACTGAGGAAGTGATTTTTACATTTTCTTTCACCGTCATTACATGAAAATCGCCTTACGTGGCCGGGGCCACCGCACTGAGCACTGCAGCGTTCTAGACTCAAAGGCACCCTGCCAGGGTCCCGATGGGGACTTCGCCACTTTGGGGACGTGGGACCTTGGGCAACCCGCTTCCACCTCTCTGCGCCTCACAGTCCTCATCTGTAAAATGGGAGCGGGAACGGCGCCTGCTCCCGGGGGGCTGGGCAAGTCCCACCGCGTCACGGCCGTGACTATTCTGTGCTGGGCGTGGCTAGGGACAGGCTAGTAACCGCTGGTCCTGCATGTGACCGGCTGTGTGGCGTGAAAAAGACACATCACAGAACGGAAGAGGCAGTATGCTGTCGTGTCTAGAAGGGTCTCATTCCCACACAAAGAAAAACCTCTGGAAGGGTGTTTGCCAAAATATGAATAACGGTAACGCTCACAGATGATTTTTTTTCTTCTTTGTGACACTTCTGTTTTCTTTTCTCTTACAAAGGGGACACGCGACTTGTAGAAAACAAGCCATGAAACTTTTCATCTCCCCCTCTTCCTTGAAAGATGCACCAAAACCCCTCTAATCCGGGTGCGACCCACCTCCCTGGGTTTACCTTCCACGTCCCCTCACCCTCTCTGCGCCAGGGAATCTGGCCAGTCCACCTGCCCTCGGGGCGCTTCCTCCCTGCGCTTGGTGGCAGTCTTGCTTGCTCACCTAGAATGTTCTCTCCTGCCTCCCCACTCGAATCTCTCCCATGCGTCCATCCTTCTTCCCTAAGACTGCTAAGTGACCCGTCCCCCAGGTTCCTGTGATGCAAATCGGCCCCCAGGACACGGCCTTTCCTTTCAAGAGGGCAGGCCACCCTGGCCTGTCACATCCCTCCCCCCCCACCCCACCCCCACACAGAGTGTGCTGCCTTGGACACTGATCTTTCTATCACAGAAACTTCCCGAGAGACATAAAGATAGCGTCACCTTAACTCCTTAGGCAGCTGAAAGTTTCTCCCCTTGGTGAGTCCTACTGGGACTTCATTCCTTCGCAATGTGCCGGCGATGTGGCCCAAGGAAAGTGCTTACCACAGGGCCTAGTGTCGGCTAAGTGCCCAGGAGGTGCTGGCTAAGGTGCCTCCTGTTTTCCCGAAATGGAAGCTGCGAATCACAGCGTGGTCCCCTTTTCCCGGTAACTCCTCAGCCTTCAGGTCATTCTCAGGGGTCACTGTGCTCATTCGTTTATATAACAAGTAAATTACAAAGTGCAGATTCATTGCCAGCGGCTGCCCCAGGCTCTGAGGACACACACAGTGACACATACTTCGTCTGCCTTCAGGAAGCTTACATTCTGGGGGACAGATCAAGGGACAATAAAAAAGAAAAAAAAAAAACAGCAAACACCTATGCAGACAAAGTGATTACAAACCGCGCAAGGGTCCCA